AGGACCAAATACAATCAGGGATGGTGGTGCTGCCTGTAATTCCAGCTCTTACAAGGGAGAGGTGGAAACAGGACAGTTACAAGTGTGAGGTCAACTGTTGAAGCAACTTTGAGGCCAGTCAGGGCTACAGGAGACCCTGTCTCAAAAACAAAACCATAAATAACTGAATACTTAAGTCGGTAAATGGAAGTTTATATTTTAAACTGGGGAAAATGGGCATTCATGAATTTTAGAGGTTCTAAATGGAGAAAGATCAATCAGTAAAATACTGTTTTACTACTTTTAAAAGAACCATTGTTTAGTTGTAGGTTGCCACGTGAGGGTAGGGTGTTTTATATACATGTTTACAAACACATACAGACAGACAGACAGACAGACAGAGTGGGGGAAGACAGAAAGATTGAAACGCTCTGAGTTGAGAGACACGTAACAGTAAGGGCCTATTCCTCCTTCTGGTTCTGGGCTGAGCTCCTAACCTCTGCTTTGAGCAGAAATGAAACCCCGTGGTAACTTTTCCTCTACCAACCAGACATGGGACTCCTCAACTTTATCCTTAGGCAAATGCCCCAGCGCAGGTTCCCCAGTCTGGCCACCCTCCTCATCCTGAGAGCCATCAGGCACGTGCTCCCGACAACACAGTATTTCCGTCTTCTCCGTTGCCACATCTGCTGATGCAGAAGCCCTGAATGATGCTCCCCGCTCTGTCCCCTCACTGCCTTGTTCATTTGCACATTGTTTTCATACATTGTTCACACGCAGCTGGCCACATTGTTCACACAGACCCAGCTGCTGAAGCAAAAATGTGCCTGGGACCACGTGGATAGCTGTTTATTCCCTATTTCCTTGGCTGTTGAGGTGTTGAGAGGAAAGGAAGGAAAAGTGGCCTGAAGAGACGGCTCTGGAGAGAGGTAGAGCTCTTGGCCCTATGGACCACCCCAGCCTTTCTAACAGCATCAAGAAAGCACTGTCCTACAATATCCTGGTGGCTGCACACTCTTGACTCAGTCCATCTGTGTTCTTCATGATGCTGAAGAAGATTAAAGTGAAGTTGCCAAGTCTGGTAGAAGAAGACGTCTGGTAGCCTCACCTTAAGTGGTCTCTAGTCAGCTGCCGGCAGCACCTCAAGTCCCTGTTCCCCCCTTACGGTGACACCTATTTTGACATCTTGGATATAGAGCTCACCTTCATGGTACATAGTTCTTACTGCTATGTTTCTATTTTGACTGGAACACAATGACCCTGCAGTGACTGTCAGGGGCTTCCCTTGCTTGTCGGCACCAAGCCCCAACTGCCCGAAGCCTCCCCAGGTTCTCCAAGTGCTGCCAAGGATTCTGGCATTGCCTCTGGCTAGTCAAAATTCCTAAGAATTTTTGGTAAAGGTTGTGTGAGATCTTTTATGAGGCTCTTAGGCAGATCAAATACAGCTGCTGGTCAAAGGGTTACTTCCCTTTCCAGGACTCTGCCTCAGTAGCTTGTAGCTGCCTGAAGTCCTATCAAGCATTCTGACTTATTTAGTATTCTGACCATAGACAGAGGATGATAACCTAACTATCTAAGCTCTCCCCTTGTCTCTAAGTGGGTCACCAGAGAAGCTTGTGGCCAAACACCACTCTTGAGTATTTTGGCTATGACACTTTGAGTAGAGGTATTCTTCCTTTGGGGACATTTTCTAATCTGTTTAAGGCTTTCCTAGGTTTTAAGGCAATTTTGTCTCTTGGCAACTTCTACCACAGATGACACGTAGCTCACATTGTGCAGGAAAGGGGATCTTGCTGGCCCAGGACTGAGGCCGTCACAGGTCGTCCAGGGCCTTGAGCTATGTTTCTGGCTCCACTAATCCTCCACTCTCTGCAGTGGGTGTGCAAATGCCTGCTTGACACATTCATTTCCTCTTAATTCTTTAGTAAATCCTTTTCCTATCCTAACACGTCTTTCAGGACCTAGCTAGGTCCTGTGGTAACAGCTTCTTAACTGTGTGGGATATTGACAAGCACTTAAGACTCTCCCGTGGACTCTGAGTAGTCTTTCTTTCATTGAAAATCACTCATTTCAGAAAGACCCATAGAGACTGGAGAGATGGCTCAGTGGTTAAGAGCACTGACTGCTCTTCCAGAGGACCTGGGTTCAACTCCCAGCACCCACATGGCAACTCACAACTGTTTGTAACTCCAGTTTGCAGGGGACCTGACACCCATGGGAAAACACCAATGTATATAAAATGAAAATAAATAAATTAATTAAAAAGACCCATAAATTCTGGGAAGAAAATTCCAAGTTGACTGCTTGAGCTGCCTTAGTGCCTATGATTGACTTGACGGCTGGGACTCCTGTTTTATTCTTGTTTTTCTATGTTGCTGGATAATTATCTGGCAGCTGGGATGAGCTGACCACTGTCCTTAGGGAGAGATGCGGGTAGAGAGGAGTTTTGACACTCTGGACAGTCATGTTAAGACCTTAAAAAATGGAATTTCTCTAGCTTGAAGTGCTAGGCTTTCCATTTATGCATTTACCTTGGTATCCACTCCTGTTTCCAAAACAAGCAATTTATAGACAGGATTCAGTCTGAGCAGCTTGTGTTTCCCAGAAGCCTTAGGGTCCAAATCCAAATAACCAATTCCTATTATCCCTCAGACCAACTAGTTTTCTCATTTCTTTCTTTAAATTCTCCTACAATGGTCTTTCCAATTTCAACCAGTGTCTGGAGAATCCGGTAGCTTTTTCTTGTTGGAGCCTTTTGTTAAGTTTTCTTTACTTGGTGATTTTAAAATGTGATGGGCCTGTCTTTCAAAATCCTTGATGCCGCCGAAAGCTCCTGAATGTTCTTTCAGTTTCCTGTGGCTACCAAGAAATTTCTGGTAAACTAAGGTCAGAAACTGAAAGTGCTCCCACCTTCCGTGTCTGTGGTCAGGAGTCTTGGTGCCAGAGGTCATCACCCAAGAGTCATGGGGTCTTCAGTTCAGGGAAGCTGGAAAGGAGGGAGGGAAGTACTTACTGCTTTCCAGGCTGTGGCAAGTCTTCCAGCATGTACGCTGTCACCAGGACGACAGCTATCCTGGCCACATCCTGAAGATGATTCACAGCAGCAGCAGCTTCCTGAAGTTCCCTGTAGGCTCTTTGGCTAGTCTTTATTAGGCCTGCAGAGATACAGAGCTCCTTATGGGATTTGGTGGATATAGTCTTTGTGCTAGAAAACCTCCAAAGAGTCAGCGCTAAGCTGCTAGACAGTTCCATAAAGTGCAGCACCACAAAGAAAAACGTTAGCCATGTACTAGGACAAATGAAAATTCAGTGCATACCTGCAATTTGCCTGATTCTGAAATAGCACACACTGGCATTTTCGCAGTAATTATTCCTAAGCAACGAAGTACTGGTTGAATCTGGTTTATCTTCACGGACTATTATTTAGTTTTTTTTCTTTTCTATAATAAACAGAAACTGTTTTTCCTGTAAGAAAATAATGTAAACAGTTAGTCCACTAACTGAAACACATTACACTAGTGTTTTGTTGTTACATTCACACAAGGAGCAGCAGACCCTGACTCGTTGCTGTGATGTCAGAGTTTTCTCCTATCCCACCTGAAGGAACAATAGGAACCATTTCTATTTAGAAGGCTTCAGAATAGCCCTGTCTTGCAGCATATCTTCACATTTGAATTTTACCTTAAGAATGGTGTCTCTTTCTTGAGTGCGTAAAAAATTTAAGTTTGAAGGAACCGAGAAGTTGGGGCTGTCAAGTTTGTCTGTTGTTTTCTGGAACTGGTTAGTGGTATCGCCTGAGACTCTCCAGCTAGAAAACGCAAAGCTGAACCTTGGGGAAGAATCGCACAGCCTGCGCTGCCACACAACTTTTGTGAGCACTGGGGCTATATGTAAAGGGTGCCAAAATTTTTCTTCTGTATTCCACACCTTTACCCTGTTTATCTTGCTTGCCAGCCTTCCTTCCTTGCTGCCCCCATCCTGTTTTCTGGGGTCTTGAACTCACTGTGTACCTGGACAGGACTCCATATCCCAAGTGCTGCGATTAGTGTTCACAGTCATGCCTCATTTTATACAGTGCCGAGTGTTCTAGAAAATCCACAGGGCTCCATGCATTTTAGGCAAACACTCCAAATGAGCCCTAGCTCCAGACCTTTTTCCTTGCATTTTTTATGCAAAGGTTATTTCTTCAGTCCCATTGTTTTAACAGGACTCTGTAGGGGATAGAGATAAGTAGAAGCAATATACATCACAAAAGAATCTAGAACATGGAGGAAGAAATGCAGGACTGTACCTGTGTAACAACTGCAGTGGCCAGATAACCTAGGGGAGGCAACAGTGTCAGATCTGCTAAGAGTCAAGACACAAAAGCAGCCATGCTCAGGAAACTAGAAACCCTTGGAAAAGAAGACACAGGTCAAGTACTGGAGGACTCAGGGGCCAGAAACCTCTGTGTCATGGTGTCTTCATTTGTATGGCACAGGACAAGAATGTAACCTGTCTCACACATATGCAAAGCTCCAAGAAGAGGGCATAGAACTATGTCACCCCACAGGCCACAAGCCAAGGGGTGAGAAATTACAGTGACCATATAATCCCTGCCAAAGAAAGGACATGGGACTCATGCTGGTTCCTCTCTTCTTTTTTAAAGTTATAGTCTTCCCTCAATGCCAAATATCTAGAGTTTATGGTTCTGGAAATAATTATGATCTATTCAGTCTGCGTTTTGTCAAGAATACTGTTCTGCCTTCATGAGAATGATTAGAAATTTTGCATTTGATGAAAGGTTTAAAAGAGTCGCTTCTAAGTGGAATCCATTAAATTTGAATAATATGCAGAAGTGGATCTTTGCTCTCAACTGGTGGATGGGATTTGTCATTACGGCCTTTTAGGTTTTATGGACATTGTGCCTTCTGTTAAAAGGAGGAAGCTGCAAGGAGCCTTTCGAGGCTTCAACAGTTCCTGGGGGAGGAGCTGGGCAGGTGGGCTGAGCTTCTGCCATACTGACCATTCCACCGGCCATTGTGGATGGATAAATGCTGAGGTCGAGAGGTCCACATTGTAGGGGGACTGGGAATGACTTAGCCTAGTGAACGGCATCTGGACGTTTCCTAATCTAAGCCTGCCCGAAGCTGCACTGACCTGCGGTGACCTTCCTTGGCTTCTGAGAGCTGAGGTAACGATTGAGAAACATAGCCGTATGCACACAGAAAACGGAGGATCTTCATAAAGTGTATATTAGAAACGCATGGTTCTTTGTTCTCTGCTCTGCCTCTCTGTCCTTTGCCCTGTATTCATGTCGACGTTGGGAATATGAGCAGGTTTATCACGCAATAATTATTTTGTTTTGTTTTAATTTGACAAAATGTGGACTTCTTGCAAAGTTCCTTGAAAGACTACTAAGACATTGATCTCTTTTGGGTAGTTTTGTTTGGTTCTGTTTGCTTACTTCCTTCTTGAATATTTTAAACTATTCCAGGAGAAAAAAAAATCCGTTTAATTTCTTAGAATGTTTGTGGTCACTCCTTTCTGAGAGTCATTGAATCGGACAGGAAAAAATGCATTTTTTGTTGTCATGTCTGATGGCAAAACTGTGTAGACCCATAGTACCTAGAGGCTGCCACTGGTCCTGCATGGCCTGGAGAGACTCGGTTACCTGAGGTTCATGATCAATAGCATCACACCCATGGGAGATGCTCAGCATCTTGCATCAACCTCCCTAACCTCCTGTTGCCTCCAGCTTTTCTACGCTGAGGATGGCATTACTGACTTCTTCAGAGCTTGAACTCCTGCTGTCTTCCTGCCCAATTTGCCAGTGTAAAAGGTAACACGGTAACAGTTAAAGATAAGCTACACAAAATCTAGACACCATCTCTGGATACACACTGTGCTATCTACAGAATAACAGACGGGCCACCCCAGGGTTAGGCCTATCTCCTCATCCGAGGTCAAGGATACAAAGTTGTAGGGCTTCACCTATTGCAGAAGAGCCGCCTGGGGAATCAACCTCACTGACCCCGTCTGCCAGGCTCCATGTCCACGCAACAACTTTGCAAACTCCCTTCCCTCCCGAAAGTCTTTCTTATCTCAGAACATCTGTTCCAGTTAAAAATAACTGCTCTGGTTCACTGGCAGGAATGTTAATTTGAGCCAGTGTGTTAATACAGATATCAGCATTGATGGCTGCCAGATGTGAAGGAGCAGCCCCAAGCTGTTTGGTGCTGGGCGATGCTCTCATTGTTTCTAGTCCTACTAACTACTGGGATCATTGGGGCAACATCTTGTAGAAACAGAGAAAGGTCACTTTGTTAGGTTAAAGAATGTGTCGATCCAAGAGCCTGTTGTCAGAGCTCCAGTCATTTGGAAGAAATTGGGCAATGGGCTGTGTCTCTTGTTCCTCATTTTCTCACTGTGAATTTTCTATGAAGGACTCTGAAAACGATACGGTTATATCCTCTCTGGGCATTTACATCCATGGGAACCAGGCATGGGGAGAACTGCATTCCAGATAAGGGGGTAGACAGTGCCATGGAACGATCTCCTCAGAGCTGGGCACAGAATACTGCCTGGGTGGTATACAGAACTTTAGAGGTTCCAGTCCCCGGGCAGTGTGGGCCTCATTCCTGCGCTCTGTGGTATCTGGGGTGGTACAGGCCATAGCTTGGATTCAGCCTCTTCCAGGATGCTGTGTGGACACGTTCTCACAGACTTGCAAAATGGATCTGTAGGGATTTTCTTGATGTTAGTGCTGTCGCACCAGATCCACAGTCACCACAGAAAGAAAGACAGATCCTTCAGACCACACTGGATACAGAGTAGCAAGTTTCCTTTCTAGTATGTGAGGGTTTAGCCTATAATTTCTTCTGAGAAAACTCTAGACGCTAATCACACTTCCCACTAGCGAGGCTGGCGGCTGAGCAGACGTAGTGACCCCTTACAATGTGCAGAGAGAAGACACAACTCTGGATGACCCAGCTCCAGAACAAGTCCCTTTCCAGCCTCCAGAACACTGAAGGCTTTGCTCATTTTCATTCTCTGCCAGCTCCTCCTGACAACTGTCTGAGAAATACACCCCCAACACCTCTTCTACAGTACCCCCTGTGGCAGGTAGGTAGGAGCTGAGGGGGTCCTAAAAGGCAGGTCAAGTTGATTGTCTGTTGTTTTTATTAGCCTTGTGCCCACCAGAGAGCAAGCATGCAGTCCATAGTAAATAAGTCCACCCATTCACATGTACCCTGCCATGGTCTCACCTTCACCACAGGGACAGCATTGGCCCTCACCCTAGGGAATGTCAGAGAGGTGGCCCCTAAAACAGAAGTTTCACTTCTCTGAGTTCTACTAACCAGAACAGTGGACCTGTGGGGACACAGTGAACAGTACATGTAAATGTGACAAAGGGAAGTCTAGGAAAAAAAATCTATGAGAAATGATGACATCATCAAAATTGATCAGATGACATTGAGAGTCAAATAAAAAGAACAGGCTGGTAAAGGATGCTCAGAACACAGCACACAGTGTCTCAGAGAAGCCATTAGTTAGCACAAGAGACTGCGGTGGGGTTTGAATGAAGATAAGAGAATAAACAAATGAGCAGAGGCAGAGAGACACTTGGAGACTGGTGTAGGGCATCTTGTGTGACCCCAGTGTCCCTTGTCAGGCAGGAGACAGTGTAAGCATGAGGTAATTATCTGCTTATTAGAGGAATGGTCCAGAGTGATGAAGCACACACAGGTAGCCAAAAGATAGTTGAAGTTTCTGTTTTACAAAATTAAGCCTGATAAAGTCAAAAACGTGCAGGTGTATCTAATCTTGACACCGTGAAATTGCTGTCATCTACAAAGCTCATGCTTGACATCCATACAATGGAATTACCAAAACAAAGCACGCACACACACACACACACACACACACAATTTTTGAAGTAGGTTTACAATTTTGTATGGGGCACATTCATACCCATCCTGGGGTATGAGTACCCTGTGGGGTTATACGTTAGACACAGTGATGTCTTAAAAGAAATGAACACATAGCTCCCTACAGAGTCCAAAAGACCCAATCACCTGGAAGGGCAATTCAGATCAACATTCTGGGTCTGATTATCCCAGGACGACTTAGCTGGTTACTTGGGTATGTTACATACTTTGTGTCACTGCCACAACTTTAAGAAGAAAGGATTCCTTTTGCTCACTGTTTCCAAGGGCTTAGGTTATGCTTGCTTTTTCCAGTGTATTTGACCAGACACCATGGAAATAGAAGAAAAGCGTATTGGGAGCAATTCTTTATTTCTTGACAGACAGAAAATGAAGTGTGGCAGGAAGGAGCTAGGAATGCTGTTACCCCAACAACCTGCCCCGGTGACCGACACCCAACACTAGAGCTCCGCAAAGTTTGTGCAAGAACAGTGACACCAGCTGGGGACCAAATGTTGCAAACGTGAGTTTCTGGGGCTATTACACATTCAAATCATAACATTGGGAGAAAAGATAAGCTTCCAAGTTATCTTCATTATGAATGAAATATTGATTCCTAAATCAAAGATGAGACACAGCTACACATTGTTTTCTTTCAGATAATACGGGCACAGTGATTTTCAATGTTTGTCAATTCTAACATTAACAAGTCCTGCTTTTCTAACGTGGCACCACAGACCCAAGTTCCTAAAGGGTGTAACTGTTTTCATAGCAACACTCTGATACTGTTTTTCTTTTTTATTCTACTGTGTGAATATTTGCTCAGAAACAGAATCAGACAAACACCAACCAATCAAAAAAGAGTGAGTGGAACTGACCATCCTGGGGGTCTATGGCAGCAACAGCTTCAGCCCTACTCTGGGCTGCTCGCTGCCATTCTGATTTAGAGTCTTGGTTAATGTCACTAATGTGTTAGTGCCACACAAAGGGTGGCACTGATGAGTGGTGGTGTTTTTATTATGCCACAGAGCCAAGGTACAAACAGATAAAAGAGGGGTGGGGGTGAGAAGACACACAGGAGCCGTTAGCTACATGTAGAAGGTAAATGGTCAACCCAGCGAAAGGCAGTTGTGTCTTTCTAGTTGGAACCGAATTGTTCGGCTCCCATAAACTTGGTCCTACCTGTGGAAAGTACGCATAGGGCAACTCCACTGTTCTGTGTGGGTTTAGTGACTGCCTCATCCAAAGACTTAAGATGTAGGAAGTAGTTGAGGAAAACCTAACATTATTAGGTTCCAGTGGTAAAACTTCAAACTTCAAATGAAAACCAGGATTTTAGAGAGTCTGTATCCAGCACTGTGGGGCAGAAGCTTCCTATTGGAGAGAAACTGACAAAGATGTTAAAAATTCTATATTTTGGTATTGTAAAATTAAAATCATCCTTAACTCTTAAAAAATCAACATAGTTCAAATAAATGGATTTTTTTTCATATGACTGGACAGCATCACCAAACTGTAAAAGCATAGACCACTGAGAACACAGTTGGTCTAGAAGCTTATGGCAGGAAAGAGACTGCAAGATACGGCTTTAGCGGGCACACAGCAAGACAGATAGGGCAGGACTGTCTGTTAAATTTGGTTCTATTTCTAAAAACATGGTACCTATTTTGGTGCATAATGACATTCTTGATGCTTTTACATTTTAAATTAATTAAATATATATCTTAAAACCCCAGTTTCTATAATACTAATAATACTATGATGCACAGAGATGGAATTTCTTTAGAGTCCTAATAAATTTTAGAATATAAATTCAAGAGCCATCAAACAGCATGTAGAGTTTCAGCTTCTCTGAACAGTGGAGAAAATTCCAGTCGCACTAGTTAACTATTATTTGTTATTGTGTTGGAACAAGAAAAAACAAAAAACAAAAAAAACCCAAAGACTAAGACTGGGGAGGGGAGGGGTAAGGCAGTCTTTCCTGCAGATACTGTGATTAGGTGGCTAACCCACGACAACCAAAAGAGAAGTTTCAACCAAGTATAAGTCTATAAAACAATTGCATGTTCCACAATAATATCCATTCATCCAAAAATTGGTTAAGAGAATTGGAACTACTCCTGCAGATAGCGAAAGGGATGTCAGTCTTCCCAACACAATGGAGGAACCATGAGGACGGATGGGAAAGACTAGTGAAGGCAAATATAAGCACATTACAAAGATGTGTAGAAATGGAAATGTCACACCAAGACAATGATAAACACATGTAAAATTATAAAAGAAACAGAAAAACACACATGCACACTTTTTTTTCCCTGAGAAAACTGAGTGTAGAGTGTAGTGAGAGATTTAACAAGGCAGCCTGGCGGATCTTAAAGAATGGAGCAATCCCAACTCTATTCATAGCAGCATTGTTTGTCATAGCCAGAACCTGGAAACAATCTAAATGCCCTTCGACTGAAGAATGAATAAGGAAAATGAGGTACATTTACACAATTGAGCACTACACAGCAGAAAAAAATAATGACATCTTGAATTTTGCAGGCAAATGGATGGAGCTAGAAAACATCATTTTGAGTGAGGTAACACGGACCCAGAAAGATAATTATGATATGTACTCACTCATAAGTGGTTTTAAAACATAAAGCAAAGAAAACCAGCCTACAAATCACAATCCCAGAGAACCTAGACAACAATGAAGACCCTAAAAGAGACATACATAGATCTAATCTACATGGGAAGTAGAAAGTAGAAAAAGACAAGATCTCCTGAGTAAATTGGGAGCATGGTGACTTTGGGAGAGGGTTGAAGGGGAGGGGAGAGGCAGGGAAGGGAGCAGAGAAAAATGTAGAGCTCAATAAAAATCAAGAAAAAATAAAAATAAAAAAAGGAAAAAAAAGAGTGGGGCAATCCAAGTAAGGAACTTTCGGAACTCACCACCGTGCCACCGTGTGTGAGAAAACCACAGGTGTGAGCATGAAGCGCCACTGCAGAGCTCACGAAACTCAGAGTGGCGGACAAGGTGAGAGTCTGCAGCTGGGACAGCCCTCTTCCCATCAGGCTGTGTTCCTGAGGGATGAGGGTGATGCTTCCCTAGGGAGGAGGCCATTCCTGTGGACAGTGCAGCAAGGTTGCCACGTAAGTCATGAGCACTCAGCTGTGGCTTTGTAAGATTTATTTTCACCTTCATTTTTTAAATGAAGAAAAATAATCATGATGTTTACAGTGATATGAAGTGGGGGGAGGCAGGAGGAGAGACTGGAGGTTTGTGTGTACTATTCTCCAGAACTCACAGAGGAAAGAAAATTACTCCAAAGTTGCTCCCAACATCACTATTAACAATCTGAAGGCCATCAGCTTCCCAGTGATGTGTCAGCTGGGCTGGTAACTCAAGGACTATGGTCCAGTGAGCTCACAAGATATAAATACTGCAGGAAAGACAGAATTTTTCAACTGAAATGGCAAGGAACCCAAAGAAAATGAAAGCAGGACCTCTAAAAAGTGAGTATCTCTATTCAGCAGCAGTAAGAAGTTGCCCATTCATCTTAAAGAACTTCTGCCGTTGTGTAAAGCACAGAGGAGAACAGACATTAGTGCTGTTCAGTGCGTCTCTCACACAAGGCCAGAATCGAACTGTAGTTGGCTCGTTTTCTGAAAGCCGAGGAAATCCAGAGAGGGTCGCAGATACTGTGGAGGGCACTCATGGGGCTAAGTTTCTGTGCTGTACCTTCTGTGAGTCAACAGACCCTCTGGGGCTCACCCATCCCTCGGTTGATCAGACCAGAAGACCAAGATGTCCTTAACCAAGGTTTCCATTAGGGCAACGAGGCAATATCAGGTAGTATCTGGAGACTGTTGCAGACAACATGTCTGTAATGAAGGCCCTGTGTTATTCTCGAAGTTTCCTGTGGAAGATGCTAAATCAGTACCTTAAACTCAGGAATTGCTAAAGTTCCATCCCTTAATAACCATCCTCTGTCATTGTCCCCACCGCCACAGCATAGGACAATGACTCGGATGAAAATTACCATGCGGATTCACTCTGGAACACAGATGTCCCTACCTGACAGAAGGTAAAGCCCGTGTCTGTGCTCCAGTCAGGAATATGTGGGATCACAGATCCTAGATCCATATGTCAGGTCGCCTCTCTCCCTGGCTAAGTGTGCACCCAACCAGGTACAGCAGATCCCAGGTGTGAGATGGAAACATCCACACGACAAGCATGTGTCTGCTGATGTGATAAAGAGGTCATGTACCCCATTTATTGGTATGACCATCCAGGTGCACATACTACACACAGGGGAAAAGAGGATCTCACATGCCACAGAGTTCTTAGTTACACATATAGGTATGAGCAGAAAGATGGCCCCTATGGGAAAAAAACATAGACAAAGCAAGGTAGGCAGGAGAGGATGCATCCTTGGTAGATTTGTGTCACTGAACCCATGACAACTTTTCTTGCCCTGCAGATGAAGCCCTGCTGAATGAGATCAGGCAGCCGCCACTAAGAATCAAAAGAACCCAGGTGCATGAACGTATTGCCCCATAGCCCCTGCTATGTCCCTGGGAAGTCTTGAGTCACTGGGGCACTTATGAGTTTCCTGGACTCTGAGGATCAACTGTTGAGATAATGTCTATATATAGCCAAGAAGTGAGAGGAGGAAGCATTACTCTGAGGGGGAAGCAAGTGTTGAGCTTCCATATGACCCACCCACCATGCGAAAATTGAATCTACTTGCAGTATGTCACCAGGACATGAGTCAAGAGCAGACAAGTGGGGACCTCCTTCTTTAAGGAGCGCAGTAAGCCGTCACATGTAATATCATTTCTCCATTCATGGTGGCCCTGATTTCAGCTGGGAGGTCTGCAGCTTGAATCCACAACCATAAAAGCAGCAAGGTAGAGCAGTCCTCACCTCTCATAAGTTGCTGCAGCCCACTTTCCATTCATGGTGTATCATGATATCGATTAATAAAGTGGAAATGCATGGTATCGTCACACACGAGATAAGCATCCTCATCTATTTATGGTGTGTTTTTCCAGTTTGGGCAGCCACTCTAGTCAGTACAATACAAATGTTTAGCAGTATTTACTATCAGAGTTAAGGAAGATTTTAAAGAGCATTTCATCATTTCAGAATAAAGAATAATGTTGCCTGTGAACGAAAACTCAATTTGCTTTGGCTCGGCACGAATCTCACAAAGCTAATTTCCCTTGTTTCCTATGAGTGACTCTCACGGTGTCAGCGGCAATACTTAACTGTTAATATATTGCTAAAGAGCTACAAGTAGGACATCTACACTGAGCTTCAGCACTATCAGAAATGTCATTTCCAATTTTAATTTATCTGGATTAGCATTACATAAGGCAGCGGTAACATCCTGGTCTTTAATGGATTGTTTTGTCTTTCTGGCAGTCTCTGCCCCCACAACCGACCAAGGATGATGCATGGAACTTCATGTGGCTCGGCAGGGCCAAAGGCTGACTCTCCTGAGCTTGCTGACCATCCAACCACAAGGTCAAGGCATTACTTTCCCTTTGAATCACTAGCTATGACCATGGCAATCAGACTTCAGAGATGCTGAAATTCGTATTTCATCTAAAACTAAAATGAAATCTGTATCTCTTTCTGCTTTATTCTGTTGTGAATTTTGCCTTTATTAGATCTGTGGTTGCCTGTATGGCTTTGAGAAAGGTCACTCTCTGTTCCTACTCTTCACTGTCCAAATAAAAAACAATCTAGAAATAAGTTGGAGGAGAAATGCATTATGATATGTTTACAAGGTTAGGAAATAAAAAAAAAAACTTGGGTTGTATGTCAACCATTAAGTAAAAACTGAACATTGGTGGACACATCAGAAATAACCCAGTATCACTAATTCGGATTTTGTCCTAAAATACCTGCATAAGAATAGCTCTGGTGAAGTTAATCATTTCACATTTATATTCCTCATGACCTGAATTTAAAGGCCCTTGTGTCTGATCTTGACATGATCATTACGTTCTCGGTAGCACAATGATCCCTTTATGTATGAAAGAATATTTTAAAGACAAGAGGAGTAGAAAAGAAAGCTATCTGAAGCTGTTAAGCTGTGTGAGGGTTTCCCTGACATCCATAAGAAAGGTATTCATACTGAGCTTCATATAGGAAATAGGCTAAAAGATCTCCAGGAAAGCTAGGGTCCATCTCACTGTCATCTGTGCCTCCCTGGCGTAGATTCTGGGCATCCTGACCTTCCAGAAGCATCTCCACCAAAATGGAAAACAAAACAACAAAAATAAGAACAGTCTGAGTGTGTATCATGGCATCTGACTCACTTCTATCATGGAGATGAAAATCGGTAACAGGTTTTTCTGAGACCCCAGTTTCGTCTCCCAGCAGAACCCAGGCCCTCTGAAATTGTTCGATCCCTGACTCCCTTCCAGGCAAGAAGACCTGTGTAGGCATGACATAGTCAACAGAGCTGCTGTGAAGGCTGCTAGGGGACTAGTGGACAGCTCCTGCCGTAAAGCTGGCCCCCCCAGTGGGTACCTGTATTGGTGCTAGGGAGGATAGGCTGTATAATGAAGAACACGCAGACTGTCGGGTACACCAGCAGCTTTGGCTTTGGCAGCTCCTCGCAAGGCTCTGGTGTTCTTATGAGGACTTGGAAATGAGCTCCAACCATTGAGCTCAGGTGGCCAGTTTAGTTGGTTTTTTTGATTACTAATTTCCACAAAGCACTTTTAAAAATAATAAGATCACTGGTCACTCATTCTTCCTATAATGTCACGATGTGGATCAGCGCCCACATTTCCCAAATAAGCCTGGGGGAGCTTCCTACAGCTTGGGAAGGACCTACCTGTTGAATCAACGACATGTTCAATCAAGAGCTGCATCTCTAAGTATGGAACCTGCAGGTGAACCACGGCTGGTCCTTCACATCACCCAGCCATGCCCTGAACCATGCACTGGCCATCCTGATTGCTCCTCCAATCAGCCAGAGCCTGGGGCCAGTACTAAGACTGGGATAGATTTCTACAAAAACCTTTAATAATTAGCTGTATTTGTTTATTTTTTCATTTCATTTAGTGTCTTCATATATTACCCTCAGAAATTCTAAAGAGCGCAGCAAATGAAATTATGCAGAGTGCAGAGGACAGGGAAATTGGGTTTCCCAGAAACCTAGAGAATTAATTGAATTTAGCTATTTACCAGTTAAATGCCGAAGGTCTTGATGATTAGGAAGATGAACGGCATTGTCAAAGGCTCTGGTGGCTGTGCTGCAGCAAGAGAATCAGGTTGGGAACCCCACTTGGGCTGCCTGACAACTCCCGGCTCAGTAGCTGTTTAGGAAATGTGTCCAACGGCCCATGAAGGATCAGCAGTACCACCAAGGGTTTAAAGAAATAGTCTTGCCCTTTCTTGGTCTCTGCATACAAATCAGGTCTTAGGGTCTCAAAGGGACATGTGCTCTGCCTTCACCCCAGTTATTTACACTTTCCTTCGAGAACATTTCTGGTTTTCTTTGTGCCATCTGATGCAAGCTTTGCTCTTCCCCTCTTCCTCGATTCTTCGTGGATCCATCCAGACCAATTCGGCATGTGGAGTACCCTGCGGTCATAGCCCCCATTCCTGTCTATTTCCCACCTCAAAACACAGATGCCTATGCAGTGTGGTGCCCTAGACGGCCTGGCCCTACAGCCCCACTATTGATTCTTTCTCATCTTACAGTGCAAATAATTATCCCAAACAGGATTCAGATCATGCCGCTGAGTTTATTAATCATCTCCATATGACAGGGAAGGAAGCAGAAGGTGCTCGTTCACGTAATTCTCCAACCCCTAAAGGCTGGGTACTATACCGGCCACTTCTCTATATTTTTCATGCTGATTCAGACCAACAAAGCTATTCTTACCACAACTAACACACAGCCTGTGTCCTTAGAGGCTTCTTGCCTTTCCTTTGCCAAGATGCTTCTTCCATTTTGAGATCCTCATTCTAGGCGTTATCTCATTCTGAGAGTCTTCTATGGCCATTCTGCTGGATGAAAGGTCTGTTGTGAGCATTTAACTTATCGCCTGTTTTAATCTCTGGTATGACTTTGCTCGCAGCCAATGACTACCTTCGGTTACAAACTCTTGCTGCCAGTTTCCACGGTCCATGGAAGCTTTATTCAGAGAAAAAGATGTTGAAGGTCATGACTTCTAAGTTCTCAGTGTACACAATGGATGCTTAACCGAAAGTGTTAGACAGAAAGTCAGAGAACAGCGAGGCAGAAGATGATAATGAGAATACAAAACAGGGGTTTCTTTCTCAGGTATGAGCTCTCACAGAGGCTTATGCAGAAAGGAATGGCTAGAGTCCCCATAACCAGTCCACACGTGACTGTTCATTATGCACTGTTCATATGCCAGTCGGGAATGAGGCTCATCCAGGGACCTCTCATGTGGTTGCGGTATGACTGCAGCTCCTGTAATGTTTTTTTTTTCTTTTCTGAACTTTCTCAGCTGATCCTGTTGAGAGAACAGACTCTATCCTTTCATTTCTGTCCACTGGATCTATAGAAACGGGGCATGCACCTTTAAAGACTTTTTGCTTCAGTGGTCTGGTTTTTACCTTAGTTAAAGTGAAATGAAGTCTTCATCAGTCTCCAGGTGGCCTTGAGATCTGGAAACATCCGGCAGAAGTAAAGGAAGACAGGCAGTCACCTTTGGCAGACTCGCAGTAGCGGGACTGTGAGAGTCAACCAAGAGAGTGGTTTGCGTTCCTTGTAAATACTCTCCAGGGTTGCAGATCCACAATTCATGCTGCTGTGTTTTGAAGGAGAAGAGCCCCCACAGGCTTACAGGCTCTGGCACCAGTGGGAGGTGTGACCTCCTTGGAGGAAGTATGTCTTTGGGGGTGGACTTTGGGGTTTCAGAAGCCCAAGCCAGGCCCTGTGTCTTGTTCTCTTCCTGCTACCTGAGGATTGAATCCAGACGTAGAGCTCATACTGTGGGAACTCCTTCAGCCAATAGCCTTTAAGACACCAGCCCACTTGGGTGTGGTCTCTTATACTATAAAATGCTTGCATTCTCTCTCTCTCTCTCTCTCTCTCTCTCTCTCTCTCTCTCTTTCTCTCTTTCTCCCCTCTCTCTCAGCTGCTGGATTCAGTTCCTGTTCCCCATTCATGCAGAGAACTGTGATCTGTGTGTCTAATCCTTTATTATATCAAATCTGAGCTAACATGGGATTACTTTATAGTGTCCATCTTCAAACTCCCATTACCTCTGCAGCACCATGTCTGCCTGCATGCTGCCATGCTTCCTGCCATGATGAGAATGAACTAAACCTCTGAACTGCAAGCCAGGTCCAACTGAAGGTTTTCCTTTATAAGGGTTGCTGTGGTCATGGTGACTCTTCACAGCAATAAAACCCCAACTAACACCTCTGCATACATGTCCATGGGTGTCTTTGTATACTGTGTGTATAAAATGTATATATTGCTTTTCAGATTGCCCATATGAATGCAAAAAAAAGGCTAACCATGTGAAAGTTGAGAAAGACATGCCAACTTCTGAAACATGTGTCACTAATCACAGGTTCATATCTCTGTGACTTGTTCCCAAACCCACCATGTTTATAGATACAGATAGTAAAAACAGACATATTCTTGTAGACTAAGTTCACAATGACTAGAAGTTGGATGGAAACATTGAATTCTAGTTTAGGATCTTCTCCCTAGGACCCTCAAGACATGGCCTCTTCTATGTTGACCTTGTGGGTCCCACCATCTGGATGTGGCCTAGTTCCTGGTGAATTGATCATTCAATCCCTGAGGAGAACAGTCAGATCAAAAGCAGGAGGGCATGGGCTTCTTTGCGAAAACTCCAATTAGCTTTATGCCGGCTCATATTTCCTCCAACAGAGGACTTAACAAAGGATGCCAATAAAACACAAAGTGGAATACAATTCCACATTCACGACCCATAATTAATCCTGTAGGCAGGCAAACTGAATCCAGGAGAAGTTGCCTCCTAAATAAAGAGACAAAGAGAACACTGAGATCACGGACAAGTCCTGAAACCCTCTAATCAAGTACCACTAAAACAGTGCCTAAGTCAGCCCTGTGTTGTAAAAACCTTACAGCACTGACAGAAATCTTCATTGCCTATCTACCATCATGGTGGGCACTGAAGTCCAGCCTTCCAGCACTAATGGATATCTTCATCGCCTATCTACCGTCATGGTGGGCACTGAAGCCCAACCTTACATCACTGACGGAAATCTTCATCTCCTCTGTCATCATGGCGGGCACTGAAGCCATGTTCCTAAACATGTGACAACCGAAAGGAGCAGATTTTCCCCAGGTGGGGGAAGAGATAGACATTGGGTGACGGTCATACCCTTGTTGAGCCAGACTGAGTAACCTACACTTGTATCAGGAGCCGTATTATTCCTGGGTCTTGGAAAAATTCACAAGGCCAAACTAATAAACACATCTGCTTTCCTGCTCAGTTTCCCCGTGTGAGATCTATGTTTTTAAATTGGGTCATTTTTATTACTTATACACGACTGACACCCATACAGAAATTTAAGCACACTTAGAAATAAATGGCTGATTATTATAAAAGGAAAATTCTGCAGTGTGGCTGAGTAAGCATGAATCAGGTAGACACTGTTGCTTGGATCATAATGGAA